ATCAAAAAATTGAATTGTAGTGTAGTTGTACCATTATGGTAGAGGAAGATTTATAACCTTAAAATAACGTCAAAAATTTCCTAAAAGTTATTTTTCGAACTTTTATTCATTAATTATATTTTAATTTTATTAATTAATTATTAAATAAAATATTTTCTCGGAAAACCCTCGGACACGTAAATTGAGATATACGTATTTTTATGCAAAATTTCATAAAGAATAATAGAGTTATATTTTTTTTACAGTGGTTGCAAAAATTATGGCCAACACTGTATAATACCTATTTTTTAAACTCAAAAGTTGACGTGAGTTTTAAATGACCCCCCTCCCTTAAAATGAGATTTGGTGAGATTTTGCTGGACCCCATTTTTGTATCACGTAATTAATGGATGTCCCCTTACTGCAGTACTCTTGGGTCAAAATTGCATTTTTTCACAAAAAAGTTATAAAATACTGATTTGACGTTTTTGGGATGAAGGATGAAATAAAGAGGCTGTGAACATAGGCTTAGGATTTGCTAGCGAAAGTACGCACAAAAAATAATTGAATCATAAACTTTAATAGCTGACCATTTTAATGCTCGCTATCGTTAATTTTAAGCCTAGCACTCAAAAATTCTAGTTAATTCTCGATCCATACACCTTTAAGTTTGAACTGCCTATTAAGACTTTTATAACGTTATCAGGACGAAAGGTTCGACTTTTTTATTAAAATTGGGCGTTTAAAAACACATAATTCATTTTTATTTTACAAGTTAAAGGTTTATTTATTATTTTGCATTCTAAATTAGAGCCATATCCCAACTTTCGTTGCATTATAACAACAAAAAATACTACAATTAACAATTTTGATTAACTGAAATAAAAACCTATTTAAATAGTACCCTACCTAAATTACTACAAAAAAGTTATAAATTAACTATAGTTATACTTATAGTATACTTACATATTCTTTTCAATAGTCTATTAGAAAACAATTTTCAGAATTGTACATTAGTAGTTAATTTTCAAAATAAATATAGCCGAAAAAATGCCTCTGCCCGTAGATATTGTAAAAAATAATTCCAATCGGTTTATGCAGATTTGCTTGTTAATGGTTCTATGGTTTAGAATACTAAAAATGTTGAATGTAAAAACGCCATCCACTAATATAGGTATAGTTTGCGTAATAGATAGCTTGTCTATTATTTGTTTTTTATTTCGCAGTAAACGCTCTAGGCAGTATATCGTATTTATTTTTTATTTAAGTATTGATTGTACTTGAAAACATATAAATTCCATTTATGAACTTCAGTCAGTTGTTAATACAGTTTCATAGTGGTAATTAAACATGCATGTAAATGCAGTAAATAAAAATGAATTTCCATGTGGTGAATTTAATACAATTAAAATTTACTTCGGTACTTCAAGTACCTTAATACCATGTTAATCAGCAAGTATTTTCTATAAGATTGGCCACACTCGATGGCCAATGGTGCTCAAATCAAGCGAGTTTGAAGGCCAAACATATTTGCCCAAAACACAGGGGACATCTCGGAATTTGGCTAGTAGCACAAATACATACATAAGACCATTGATTTTTTTGGCAAACAGCTTGTTTGCTTGGAATTTACTAAATGAGTTAAAATAATAATTAAGGTGATTTGCCTAAATCAAAAGCAACATTTTTGTACCTAAAAGTAACTGAGATTTTGACTAAATATTTAGGCAATCTGTCTATCTTTTTAAATTTGGCAATTTTATTAAGTAAAGTATAAACAATTATCTCAAAGTTAATGAATATAACATATAACTAAAGCAGTAGATTCTGCCTTATAAAAGGTTTTTGCTACACTAATTCTGAATATGTCTTTCAAAAGGCTAAAATTCATTAAACTAAACCTAGAACTTTACTGAATGTGTATTTAAAAGCCTTGTTCTATAAAGTTCCATTATCTATTAAACATTCGTTGCAATAAAATGACAAGTGGTGGTTGTAGATGCACTCAAAGCCCCCAGCAAGTACAGTTGGCAAATAAAGGTCCTCGTAAAATGGTCATTATCAGACAACTAAGTATTTGCATGCGTTGATTTCACTTACCTCACTTCTGCTTCCCTTTAAATGTTGTATTACATTGGTTGATGGAATTACCGATGACCATGAGTAGATTTGAGGGAACGTTTCCGGCTTGAATTAAACGGAAATTGGGTCACATATTAGTCTGTTTCCGGACACGGACCTCACCTGGACTTTGCACCTTTACTTTATAGATTTGTTTTGTTTTTAACAGAGAGAAATATGATTCGTTTTTCTCCTACAATATACAGGGTGCAGGAATTTTCACAGTAGTAACAAACCAAAGCCAATGAAAATGAATGGGTTCTAATCCTTGCTCAACCAGAAGTCATATTTAACTTATATCATCATCATCAAGGAACTCATGCAGATATTAACACTGAAATTACATTATATTATGCATTCTCTCTTTTCTCGCTGCCTCTCTTTCACTGGATATTTTGCTAATTTATCATTCATCCGGGGTTAATGGTTCCTACGTTTTCTACTAAATTCATCATTTTTTAACGTTTTGACGTAGCATTATTTTAAACTTTTATTTAAAAACGATGCTGATATCAACGGAACTTGTGGATATAGTTTTTAAAATATAGTCAAAAAACTAAAGGAAATAAACAGTTTTTTCCAAATAAATTGTATCTTCTTTTTAATTTACCGTGCCCAACTGGTGGTTTAAAATTAATTTATCTACTATGTAGGTACTAACAAATAATTAAACAGTAATAAAATCGCTTTTTAATAAAAAAATATGAAATTTTAAAAGTTGTATTATTAATTTGTATTAAAATAGAAAATAAGTTCGTTTAAAATGTAAATTTCAAATAAACAGGAAATTTAGAACAAAAATGGATGCAATATAAACAAATTATTACCTAAAATATATTTTTATTATTAAATTTAACCAAAACCTTGACCAAATTTGTAAAACATATTGAGACATTCAGTTAATATACTCTAAGATATTTTTGTGGTAGTTTTAAAATATACACCTGAACTATGGTATAAAAACCTTCAAAATCCTAACCGGACTAATAATTAAGATGTTTTTGGGATTTCAATATTTTCAACCATTTTTAGTAACAAAGTTCTATCGCTTGCCTACACATTATGGGTTTCCTTGACATTATCATTTATGTTTACGTAGTATCAGAAGCAATTTAAAAAGTACCAAAAAGTTTAGCTATATTATTATTATACCTAAGTAAACTATTAAAATTGTTTTTGCCATACATGCACGGAGATAAATGTATAGTAAATTTTAGATAGTAAAAAAAATATAGTAAAATTTACTTTAACAAATTTTTAGGGTAACAATATTATATATTCGTCAATACAATATTAAGATTGTAATATAAAATACTATTTTTTATTATACAATTTTAGTAAAGATTATAACACCAATATTACTAAATCATAAATGTATAATATATATTTTAATTTTTAATATGTTCGTATAGTAATTACTACCTATAAATATTAATATTTACTATATGATTTAATCAAATGTAAGGTGTACATCTAATATTATAATATATTACACATTAATAAAACATATAGTAAAAATAAAGATACTTTTATATTTAAGGTAAATAAGCAATATATTTAAATATAATATACAATATAGTAACTCATGACATTTTAAACATTCAATTTTTTAGTTTCTTTAATAAACTTTCTTGACACATTACTGGTAATACTTATAAGAAATAATTGAACCTACTTGGTTGCATAGTATGTACCGATTGCGGCAAAGGCCACGTCGCGACGCGTCGTTAGACGGTGTGGATCACGTGATGTTATTACATCTCGCCTCTGTTGGCTCACCAACCATGTTATATAAGCTCAGGTATTTCTTTGTTTTGGGTGTGTTCCACTACTACATGTTGCTCGACAGTGTCGTGTCGACACTGATGATACCCAATATAGGTCAAAACACCTGTCTCTCGGTATTAGAAGTTGATGGAACGTTCTCAAAACAAAAAACTTTGGCGAGGTGTAGGTTCAATTCTTTCTCATAACATTTTTGTTTATTAAAAAGTACAATAAATATGTTACAATTTTTTATTATTAACATATAAAAATATTCGATTTTTAAATATTTTATATTTAAAATGGCAACATAATATTTTAAAATTTACTATACTTATTAGTAATGGAAAAAATCTAATTATAATAAGAATTAAAAACAAAATTGGTTGAGAATAATAATATTTTACCTTTAGGTTTAACATACATGGATATTTAAAAATTACTAAATATGCATAGTATTTGGCAATATACAAGATAGTTGTCCCAAATAGTAATATAAATTATAGTAAAGGGTATTATAATTATGGTAATCAACATTAATTATACTTTTCTCTCCGTGTGTGCACATGTATAAACATAAAAATTATTGCATTTTTTAAAACTGCCTAGTGAATGCAAATTATGTTAAAAAATATAGATAAAAACTAAAATATTATGCTTTAAAATTAGTTTTTATTTTACTTTATGCACAATCATAATTATACAGGGTGTCTTGGATTTTAATCGGGAAAAAAATTGTATTTGTAAATGCTTAATATAAATATAATATTAAACTGTTAAAAAAATAGTGGTTTGACTATATTTTTTTACTTAAAATAAGCGTTTAAAGCATACAAGTTCATATAAAGATTTTTTCGCGGTTTCAGAGATATTAAGAAAAAAACTATATTTATTTTAATTTTGAACACCATGAACGTATCCCCAAACGAACCTAAGTTTATCTACATTTTTTAACTTAATATATTTATTTATACCCATTCCAGGATTTAATTTAACATTATTTTAATGAATGTAAATTTTAGGAACAGTTATTTAACCAAAAATGAGGCCCTAATTGGATATATTTGCATAACAGCGTAGGGTTAACTAGGTATATAAATGCGTTAAAATATATAACAATATTTTTTTATAAAAAAAAAATATGAAGCTAGAACTTATTGTAGTATTTTGCAGTTTTTTGATATTTTCCAAGGTAGGTACCTTTTCTTTGTTTAATTTGTACTTATCTGCAATAAAAGTGGATACTAAAAATAATTCTTAGGCAAGTGGTGCGGAAAATAAAAAAAGCGTTGTGGAAGACATTATTCAAAAGGGTCACGATTATTGCGTTAAAGAATCTGGTGTAAATAAAGGTAATTCGTATTTTTTTACTATGCAATACCTAATTACGAGTATAACAGTTTCTTTTAAGATTTGGTGTTATTGGCACAAAAGGACCGAATTTACGTCAATAATTCTGAATTTAAGTGTTACCTGTTTTGTTTATTTACTCACTTTAAAATTGTAAGTCTTTTAAAAATTTAAAAATGTAATAAAATTTACGTTAGAAGTTATTTTAGATCGATAAGGATACAGGAAAATCTACTATGTCCACCTTTAAAAAGAGTTTTTCGAAAGTACACTTGGATAAATACAACCCAGTTTTCGAAAATTGTAAAGTGAAAGACTGTAAGTAAATACAAATAGTATTAGGTATACCTATATATATATATATATACATATATGTATTAAAAAAAAATTAACGTTTAATTTTAGTCAAAAGTAAAGATTATTGCGAAGAGGCATGGGAATATGTTACAACCTGTTTTGTAAATCAGCCAACTGTAAGTATTTTTAATTTAAAATAAATAACACTAAATTATTGCCTACTTTCTGTTTTTAGTTTACACTTGTATGATAGTGTCGGAGTAAATTTATTATATTTTATTATACAAATATATATATATATTACTGAGTAAAAATTGCATTTGTTTTCAAAAAAGTTATAAACAAACCACTTAAATAATTGTTTCAGGAATTCTGACTAAATATCATTTCAGATTCAGTATTCAATTCAATATGTAGTTTTAATAATATGACTTTATTACAAATGCTAAAATTCGTTACGTGTAGGCAAGGCTTTAACAATAATTTCAATAAAATAGAGCACCCGAAGTGCGAGATTGTTCCCGATTTTATTCCCAATCGAACGTAAAGAGCCGGTTTAATGGGGCCATTCCATTTAATACCGTTTACTACACTATACTGCCAGCTTTATTTATATACAATCACCATAACATGAACAGAACGAGTTTATTGTAAATGTATTTGTATGTAATACACTTACACAGTTCTCAGTGGCGTAGTAATATTTGAAAAAAATAGAAATTCGTGATGAACGATGAAATAAAGACAGGTATGATCTTACACTGTTCAAAATTTCATGACCATTTTAACACCAAATTGACACCATACATGGTCTATATCGATACAAACCAAAATGGTGTTAAATATGGTTCGTTGGTCCAGTGTAAATTCAAATACTAAAATAGTGTAAATTTAACTTTTACACAGTATTAAAATAAATTTTACCTGGTGTAAATTGAACTCCTTTTCAGTGTTAAATATTATGTGTTTTTTCTCAAATTAAATCATACAACACAGAAAAAAAGGAAACAGGAAGTTCCTTGACACATTACTAGTATATTACAAGTGGTATTGATCCAGAAAATTGAACCTTCAACTCGCTAGAGATATTGTTTTTAGTGCGTTCCACCAACTTAAAATACTTCAAGTATTGACAGCCTTTTCCACCTATTTAAGGCCTCTTTAGTATCGAACAACTTGTAGTGTCACACCAAAGCAAAGGACTACCTGAGCTTATATACCCTTCATGTAAGTCAACAGAGGCGTGATTTAAGAACATCACGTGATCCACACCGCCTTTGCCGCGATCGGTACACACTATGCAACCAGGAATGCACGGCAAATTGTTTTAATCGTTTTAACAGAGTGCTTTAGGTTAAAGTAACTCTTATTTTCCAATCAACGTCAAACTAATCTTTGTTTATATTAACCTTCCCACAGTTGATTTAAATAAGTACTTATGGCTCAACTAAATTAATATAGTTAATAATAATAATAATATAATAACTTTTTATTTATTATTGGCCCCAAAATTCAGTTTTAAAAACTGGTACCAGGGCCTAAAAAAATATACATATAACAAAAAAAAAATAATTCTAACCTAAATTATTACAAATATTATACTTTATATAAAAAAAAAGTTATACTTTATCTTGAAATAATATTCTATGATTAACAACAATTTAGAGTTTTATCACAATTAGCTGCACAAAAGCTTTATTTCCCTTAAAAAATAATGAACATTCTTTGTAATTTGCAACTGTTCTGGTAGTTTGTTGAAAGCAATGATACATTTAAAGAATGGTGAAGTTTGCGTCTTATTTGTAAGTCTCAAATTAGGTCTTATGTTGTTTTTATTTCTAGTCAAGTATTTATGGAAATCTTTGTTAAAATTGATGGTTTGGTTTAATTTTAAATGAACTATTCCTTTTTTTCTGTGTAGGTGCACTTCTTCAATATTTTTAGATAAACACCGTTTTGGTGTTTGCTGTATATAACTATAACCCAGAATCTCTCTTACATGAACCCTGAGCCACAAAATCCCGCTAGCTCAGATAGTCGTGGGTGAATGTTCTTCGCAACTACTACCTACCTTTGACTTTACAAAAAAATTGGGCACCAAGTAATTTTTTTCTGGGACAAGAATAAAAGAAATTACTAAAAAAAAAATCAAGTGTATTTTTACACATAATTGTTATAAACCCTTAAGTCAGATCTCGTAGTTACAGTTATTTAAAGTTGTTTAATATACTCTGGTATTACAATGATTCTAATTACCCCTCGTATATATTGGCCAATTACACGCGGTTTACACTAATAAAAAAAATGTTGTATATTAAAAGTTTTCAATATTTGATATTAAATCTACCAGTACTTAAACAGTGGTTTGTTAACAAAATGGATCTAACCTTAGTTCTGCACTACGTATACATGTACGTTGAATAAATTATTCCGAACAGGATTGTACGTCAGTCAATGTCAATATGATCCATCCGTGTATGGTAACCAATATCCCAGGTGACACCGAAGGTGTGACTTGAATTTGTTTATAACATGTACTTGAGATTAAACTTGGGTTCTACACCCGGAATTAAAACAGGAATTAAAAATGAAAAAAAACCCTAAAAGAAAAATGTATGACAATTTGTCCTTAAAAAAATATATATAAACATACCTTCGTAATGGGTTTTATGTTCTTGGATGGTAAGTTACAAGAAACCGATGGATGGATGGAATCCAAGATGGTTGGAAAGTGGTTGGACTGGTGAAAATTATATCCAAATAAATCCGGCATAATGCCGTGAAAATCCGCACTCAAAACACTATGGATAACAATATACCATCATTGCGGGGTTTCTCAAATGAGTAGACCTCTCCAAATCCCTTTAACAAGGTTTTACTTCACAAAGTAAAAATACGAGAATGTCACTCAAAGGACAATTTTCACCAGACTGACATATCCGCTTTCGCTACTCTAACACGTACATGCGCATATGTGCCAAAAACCACAAAACTATGAAAACGGCTTTGAATACCGAACTAAACCATCCAAAATTACAAAACAAATATTAGAAAATCAAAAGTAATGGAATTACTTAATATAAGACAATTTACAACGACAAAAAGGCCTAACAAAAGTTCCTAATTTCAAACTTGATCCGAAAATTTGACCAATAAGAAGCAATGCAGGAAGTGCAGTGTTCTCAACTGGAGCCTTGCACCGTTTCAAAGGAACCTGCGTCTAGCGTCAAGTAAATGCCGCAACACTACATTATTCGCAACCTCGCGATAATCGCTCCAGACTGGAGCCTCCAGTTTATTGGTAACACTGTCAGAAAACAACTAACCTCATTTTGATGTTTCGTTCACACAATAAAAATCCTTGCTCCAGACTGGAGCCTCCAGTTTATTGGTAACACTGTCAGAAAACAACTAACCTCATTTTGATGTTTCGTTAACACAATAAAAATCCTTGGTAAGTAACTTGAATAAATACTAAAGCTAAACAAATAATATTCAAGATCTGATTTTTATTTTAGGATCACTTGGCTGAATGGACTACCAATAATGTGAGAACATAAGCTACATTGCTATAAAATACATATACAATATTGTATTGTTGTTGCTGTCCAATAAAGTCTTATAAATTAGCAATGGTTTTTATTTGTCGAATTAATATGATGTTATAAGTCAAACACAAGAGCAAGGCAAACTATCATGAAATTTCTTTAAAAACTACGATTACAGTGCTCAACATTGAACCGTACTATACATTATATAACAAAAAGGTTAAAGCACAATTTCTTGTGAAACAAAAATGTAAGTTTTAAAATCCAAACCATAAGGTTACATAACATTTTCAACCATAATTCATGGTGTTTATATTAACACCACTTGGTGTTGAATTTTGACACCATTTTAAGATTACTCTTTACACCACAGATATTTTAAACAGTGTAGGCTTGGATTTTGTTAGCTAAAGGGGGTACAAAAAAGAGAATTGGATCGTGAACTTTAATAGTTCATTTTAATGCTCGCTATCGTTTATTATGAGTCTGACACTCAAAAACTCAAATTAATTCTCGATTCGTTCGCCTTTGTGTTTTCATGCCGAACGGCTTATCAAGACTTTTATAACGTCAAAACGAAAGGTTTGACTTTCTAATTAAACTCGATGGAGTATGGCCAATCTTATGTGTGAATACATTGAGATGTTCCCCAAGTGAAAATGATTATTTTTTATTTTTGGTTGTTTCACTGTTAGTCTAGAATGGGGTTTTTGGGAAGCAACCAGGTCTGGTAATAACATAACATAAGTGGTTCTGCACTAATGCAAGAATTTTAAGAAATCAAACATTTTGAATGTTAGAGCTTCACGGAGGTTAGGATTTCGTATGTTTTTTTAAACATCCCTTTGTATATTTAAAATAAGTTATTGTATCTTTTGACACCTTAATATTTTTAAAAAATACAATTGTACATACATAAAATATTTATAAAAAATCTACTTACTGAGATATTACACTTCACGGTGGATAGGTTTTTAAATAGCAAATTAATGAACTTAAATTTTTGAATTATAAAACAGCAACACTCTCATCTGTATATAAATTCTAACTGACCTTCAGGAATCACATGCATCTCTAATGTAAACAGAGGTTTTTGCTTGATTCGATTGCTTTGGATGTGTTTAATTTACTTAAGGTAGATGAAGCAAAACCGATGTAAATTTTTAATTGAACAATTCACCACATGGAAATGAATTTCTATTCATTAATAGAGCATGCAGATAAAAAACATAAACATAAAAACAGTAAAAGCAAATGTTAAAAAATAACTACTCCATTTTTGTACTAGTTGTGGCACAATTTAAAAACCGGAACTAATCTCCGGAGCGCACAATGTTTATTACCATTATGAAACTGTATTACAAGCGACAGAAGCTCATAAATGGAATTTATATGTTTTGAAGCACAGTCAATATTGAAAATAAATACGAGATACTGCCTAAAGCGTTTACCGCGAAATGAAAAACAAATAATAGGGTAGAGCTATCTATTACGCAAACTATACCCATACCTATTCATGGGACATAAAATGTTTAAACAAAATGGCGTTTGATGAGGTCTTCATAATTTCCGCCGAGGGAAATTCATTTTCTTGATCACTTGTACACTCAGAAAAATGTACATGCACTGATAATGAAACTAATTTTGTAAGCGATTAATAAAATAATATTATTTATCTTAAATTTAAAATTGTAATGGCTATACAAAAATTTACCACCTAAGGTATCTTTTTTATTAAATTTTCAGTGTCTTATTGGGAC